TTTATGTAATTTTAAACTGCCTTTGTTAAATAAATAAGTAGTACCAGTTTGTGTGTTTCTAATTTGTAAGTGAAATTGAAAGATATTTTTAAATGAACAATTTAAGAGTTATAGTTCTACTAGTAGGACATGTTGAAATTTGCCAAAATTTTCAATAGTAAGTCTGAAGGTTTAATATACTAAAAACTGGGTTTCAGTACTCATTGTGGGCACATCACAGATAGCTTGTGTAGCTTTTTGCTTAACAACAAAACAAGTAAATGACAAAATATATGTAGAGTTGTGTTATATCACTCAATTTGCTTTCTTACATAAACACACAAAATCTAATATTTGGCCATAAAAATTGTCTCTTTTTAAAAGTTTAAAACTTAAAAACTGTCTCCAGCAATGATGATATTGTGAGTGCTCATGCATCTTTCAAAAGATAGAATTATTCATTCATGTTTTTGCACTTGTTAACAGAATTTTCAGAATTGAAACATTGAATCTGAAATAAAATTTTAGAAAATTACACAGCAAACCTATTCAAAACTCAAATAAAATCAAAACATGTTCAAACATGCTTATTGCATGTGCATTTTCTATAAAATATAAAAATTTAACATATTTTTTATAAGTATAAAACGATGTAAACAATATTCTGAAAATTGGCTTTTGAAAAATCATTTTGATCCTACATCATTTTGGTTTAAAAATTATCCAGTAGGAAAAGTTTTTTGGTTAAATTTCACACACACACACACGCAGAAATTAATGTGTGTCCATAATAGTTGCTCTTAGTAGGACTTACACCTATGTTCATAATTTCTTTTTCTCTTTTTCATCTTTATATTCATAAGCAGTGGATAGACAGATACCTGTTTTCCCAAATTTTATTATTCTGCTAGTAGAACGTGTCAAAATTCAACAAAACACATAAAGTTGTTATATTTCAAGCCACAGTCTAAAACTAAGGACTTTCAAATTCACAAGATAAATAAAAATTGAGAAATTAAAAATCTGCAAATGAGGATCATAAAAAAAAGTAAGCAAACAAGGCTGGAGATATTGTAGAAATTGTTTATTCAAACTACAAACCCTTATTTTGGCTCCTTGCTATTACCTAGAATTAAATTTGGTGGAGTCAAAATAGGGATTTGTAGTTTGAGTAAATAACGTCTACAGTATTTCCAGTCTTGTTTACTTATTGTTTTTACGATCCCTATTTTCAGATTTTTAAATTCACAATTTTTATTCACCTTATTTACTGGCATATACTTAGCTATGGGCAAACGATTACTTGATATGGTAACTAACTTTATACATTGTAGTTATTATAAACATAGCTAGCTGAAACTGTTCAACTGAAACTGATGATTTACTGTAGCTATTGACTATTTGATCGCATTAGTTCAAGATGTAAAATGTTAAGCTGCAGCAGAAGATTGTCATGGAGATTTTTTTGAAAATATAGCGAGCATTTATAGTTTCTGTGAAACTAAATTTTCTATATGTAATGTATATCAATGGGCAAGTATATGCCTAGACTGAGACACAACCTCCACTAAGTGCGTATAAAATTTTACCAGTAGAAAAGCAGCCTTTTCAAATAAAACATATATGTTTAAAACATTGCTTTAAATAAACCTTTGTGTCTTTTAAAGTAATTGTTCTACAGTCATGTGTAATAAAATTTAATATTATGTGTATTAGTTTTTATTTTTGCTTCTTCACTTCATACAAAATATAGGGGTTGGCTAAAGACACTGATTGTATAGTGTAGAAAGCATTGAGTATCTACGTGTTAGTCATCTAATGTTCGTCTATTATTGGCTGGTAATTACTGTTTCACCCTGTACTTAAGCTTTTTAAAGGAACATTAGATGTTTGTAAGAAAGATAACTTCAAGAAGTAATGATAACATCGTTTATACTAGAATTATGATGTTTTTTAGCTTATTTAAAATATAGGAGAAACAAATCAACTTTTCAGTACCATTACGACCCTCACAGTACCTTATTTAGTATTGTACAAAAAGTTTGGGTGCAATATACCATTCCTTTTTGTAGACTGGCAAGAGAATATTAAAAAGAATTACAAACATGGCTGTTTGAGCGGATTTTCTTTTCCTTGTAAGTGTAACATGCATGCTTTTTTGTGCAATTTTATATGTGTACAGCCTTAACAGTCAACAGTAAAGGTTTTAAAGTGTTGATTGAACTGAATCCTTACTGTTTAAGATGTATTTTGCCTGAACATTCTTTTAGGGTTTTGTGCAATTCCTTATGATTGCTATTATGAACCAGTCTTATGGTTCATAATATTGGAAAAGGTGTTTGCAAAAACTTCCTTGTAAACAACATTTTCAACATTTATACCTTCAGGAACATAAATTTTTAATCATATGACCATAGCTTTATTAGAGCTGACTGTGAGAAAAAAATTGGCTTAGCTAAGTGCAACCAAGATGGGCAAACATCCATCTAACCAAATTATTTTTTTGTATTTAAGATTTCATCACTGAAGACAGACTTATTCAAATCCAATGTAGCAGTGTGCAATTCCTTATATTTTGTTACAAGTGAGGTTCTTCTTTGTCACATCAGTGTGAAATTTATGGTAATAATATATGTTGAGTCAAATGTGAAAAGCAATTTTTTGGTATTGCTTGTACATACTTCATAAAGTCACATATTGATAGTTTCACCTCAAATGGGCATGTGTACTTTTGTAAGAAAAGCCTTGGAACTGCATATCTTTATCCTCATATGGAATTTATAACATCCATTATTTTTGTTTTTGCTTGGTATTATGTAACTACCATATTTTTCGGAATATAAGACGCA